AAAACAGCGAAACAAGATTGATGAAATGGCGATAGACAACAAAAAGATAGGTTGAAACCGCGCCAGAGAAAAAAGGCAAATACAATAGTAAAAACCCGAAAGGGACATGGCTTACTCCTCAGTATGCGAAAACAAAGGGTACGTTCCTTTGAGATGATCCGGATCATGGTTGTTGGGGATAAGCACAGATTTCTTCAACTCAAACGGTAAAAACTAAAATAAAAATACAAAACTTGTAGGTAGAGAGCCCAATAGAACTGAAAAACGGACGAGATACTCACAAGTTCTGTCTGTAAAACAACGCAACAACTCTCACAGATCACGCTAGTCACATGGAAAAAGAGGTCACGTGACCAGCGCTCAGGTCCCTATCAAAAAACGTAACGGTTTTCGGATAATGTTCATGTCCGATGTTTAAATTAGATTTGTCCCGAACAATGGTAGATCAAATGAACCGATGAATCCACTCTGGACAAGGATTCATCGGTTCATTTGATGTACCATGATCCGAGTGATCTCGGATCACTGATCCTGATCTGGAGCAAGGGAACGCACCCTTTAAGGAGTTTCGAAATTCAGACATAAGACATATATAGCTCCTCCCTCCTCTGAAGAGGACCTTATTGTTAGATGCCGTATTGCATGATTTTGAAGTAAGCAAAGAGATTGTATGCTATTGGGAAAACATCTCCAGCTACAGACTGAGCAATATTAATGATAATGTGATTTTGAAGTAAGCAAAGAGCGTGCATTGTTTTGGGGAAACCCCTCCAGCTACACAGCAATATTAGTGATTGTCGCTTCAGATCTTTGTATATAAACATTATCAATTTTATATTATTTATCAAAAAACTTGAACACTAGCTGGAACAGCACTGAATTACTGCTTGGAACAGTGTATTGCTACCCCTAACGGTAGGAGATACCCATTACCTTATAGACTATACATCGCAGTACACCCAGGGAGATACTTACAATTAATATTTAGAGTGAAACTTCTTGAATTAAACGAGCCTTGACATCGGTACTGGCCTCCATCTTGAGCAGATATGGAATGTATATTCAGTGTATATGTATCACTATTCACTGAAACTGTAATCCTCCCAATGCTTGATGTTGTGATTCTCTGACCCGAGGGAGTTATCCAAGAATCAAAGGTTTCTCCTATTACGATGCAAGGCACTCTTGAATTTCTTCCTGCCATATTTATTGTTTCTGTAAACGGCAATCTAACTGTTCCATCTACAAGAAAAGAAGAAAAAGATACCAAACCCCTCAGTATTTGATACTATTATTGTCATTATTATTATATTATTTATTATTATTATTATTGTTATTATTATTATTATTATTATTATTTTATATTTAGCAAGAATATCAAGTTTGGTGCCAATGTAAGTATTATGTTCAAGCCTAGCTTCACTCCCAGAATATTTAACAATGGAGTCTCATAAGGTGGTTATAACTTTTGAGTCTGTTCGAAATCCTATGGTGTCAAACCTGTTTGACAGTACTTTCAAATTTTCCACCAATAAGGTTTCTCATCATTTTGGAAACTTTGCTGAAAGGGTGGAAACCAGGCGGTGTGCGTCACGAGATTCGACCAATCAGAATGCGTTATTTGTAGAGTGATTTTCGCGCTTGGGAAGAGCCGTTTTCAGAGGTGTATATGGTAAAATTTTCGCTTTATTCCAAGCTTGTGTAGGTAATTTCTACCCTATACGGCCTTGGAAAGTTGTTCGAACACTTTATCTTGATAGTAGTTACGTTACTTTAAAATATTTTGCTTTCTTGAGCGTTTATGACAAGTTTGAATTGTTGGTCATGTACAAGCCGCCATGATGATTTGAGTGTTGTTTTTGCCGTTCTTCTTGGATTCATTGCTGGCTACTGTTAGCGGTTTTATTGGATTTTTTTGGTCATCGTGTTACTTCAACATTTCTTCTTTGCAAATTTCGGGGTCTACCCGGTCTACCCCTGATAGCTTTCCCGTTATGATCCGTTGAAAGTGTCTTGGAATTAAGAGATCGTCTTAACCACGTAGCACAACTGCCGGGAAACAGACTGAGAAAACATGCCGACGCGGAAGCCGACGTGAAGCGAGAAACGCCAAATCTAGGAAGCGTTTGTTCCATTTTAAACCAGAAAAGGTAAATAAGTTTGAATATTGTAATGACCTTTGGAAAAAAAACATTTTTCAAAACCCAGTGCGGAAACTGAAAGCTTGACTTTAAAATAAGTTGTATGTAGTGTGTACCATGTGTATGTAAATCTTTATGTAAGCTTCATGTGAGGGATTAAATTGTCACGAATCTCTACTATACCAAAACACAAAACCATTATCGAACATCTAGCCAACATTAGCCGCTTTACGTTCCATGCTTTCAGATAGTAGAGCGCGGCGGTAAGTGGGGAGCGAGTTAAAGGGACTGGTTCACGATAATGCGCACGCGCGCCGTTTGTCTCTTCAGAATAAAATTGTCGGGTCAACACTAAATTCGAAATCGCCATTACCGGTACAATCATTGAAAATCCTTCGTTTTATTCGGACATCCGTCGCTTTGGCTGGTCTAGTTATACTTTGGTAGTGGTGATTAACGTGTGGTTGTGTCGTTTGACTGGTTACGTTTTAAGGAGACGCAAAAAATAATGTTTTGATCATAGAGGTTCAGAAGAGCATCGTGGCCGACCGGCAACAGGACGTTCTCAAGAGTCTTTGGAGATAGAGAAGCTTAGCCTATCGATCTGGTATGGTTCTAGGAGTAGTGTGTGGCTTACGAAAAGTATACACGACACTTGGAAGGTGGTTAAAGGCATGAGTTCGCTCAACTTTGATTTGATTTTTGACTCCGACCTGTAGTTATACCGCAACAAGCGGCGCGATCTTCACCGATCTGGTACACTTGAAATGTTCCTTGTATCTTTGCTTTACGATCGTATATGTTTAAGAATTGATGTTTTTAAAATAAATTATTGCCTGAATATTCTGTTTATAATCTAGTTTCTTTATGTGTGCTACTCGATAACATTTGTTTTGCGGAACACTGACCCGATGCAACGCGAATGAATTTGTTCATTTGCTGATAAGCATTTGAAATTTATGCTCAATTAAGGATAATCTTTATACTCATACGTTCTGCGTTTTTGTCACCGGTCAGGTGCTATTTGTAGGTATTTCTGGATTTATATAAGGCGAACTGAGAGAACAGTAATAAGATGTTTGTTTACAGATTTTGTTTGCCGATCGGTGACTGCTTTGTTAGCGTGGGTACGACCTCGTAAAAATACACGTTGGTAAATGTTTGTTTCAAAGCAGGACAGGGCTGTAAATCTTATTCTTAGCGGCTGCAACATATATCTGAGGAGTTGCAAAAAATAAACTTGAATTATGGGGATAAATAAAATCAAACCAAATGCCCGGAAATACTCTCGCGTCGCGAACAATTAATTTGAATTTTGTAAATTTACTTGCATGCATCTAACTCGCTTCCGATTGGTTGAAAAACAATCAGCTACTGTCAGAACTCACACATGCGCATTATCGTGAACCAGTCCCTTTAAGTTGTACACAGGGAAAATTGGGAAGGGGGGAGACGGGGGGGGAGGGGTGGCGAGAGCGAGAGAACGCCTGTAAACTTTGTTAACAAAGGGTCGTTCTGGTATACTGGAGTCCAGTATACCCTCTTATTGGTCGATTATGACACCTTCTGTTAACACTCGAGCACTGGTGACATTGATGAGGAATGCAATATGGACGGAGAGAGACATCTGTTATCGAATCACGCGGACATCGAAGCTACTATAAACGATGCAATCGAGCATTTCCTGTATGAGGAATCTTTTCATGCATGAAGAGCAGAAAATTTGCTTGAATCTCGTTCGCCGAGGCCAGGACGTTTTCGCGATTCTTCCAACGGGCTCTTGGAGACAATTGGGCTCTTGGCGAGTCAATTTCCACGATCATCATCGTTGCGCCTGTCGTAGTCATAGTGAAAAAAAGCTCAAGCGATTTGGAATAACAGCAACAACAGCCATAGGCTGGGGACAGGAGATAGGCATGGACGAAGACACGGCAATGTGAAAGGAAGGTGTGCTTTCCCCCTCTAGTCTCCCTCGTTTTTTTTTCTTCGTGAATTTTTCTCCTGCGCCCTACTATCCGAACGCCTGGAACAGGCTAAGCCAACATTCAGGATTTTAAAAACTGAGACGAGAGACGAAGAGAGACGATTTCCCACCTTGCTGTTTGCTCGCGCTCCCACTCCTTGGCGGTAATAAAGTCCATCAAATATATAAACACTACTAATGGACGAATTTTTTTTGGTTAAGCAAATCCAGGTATGAACTACAGATCTCTTCCACTCTGAGATAAAAAATATACATATAAACCAAACAGTACATATTAAAAGCTTCTGAGAAGCAGGAAATCGTCGCTTAAAATCGGCTAGATCGCAAATTCGATTGTCTCCGAATCGCGATAAACTTATTGAAATTGCCTTATGAATGAAGCTAACAGCAAGCATCTAAGGCCACTATGAGATCTTGAAAATTCTCCAAATCGCGCTCTTCCGTAATGTTTTTCAGAAAAGGAAGCAGTGTTTTGATCCCTGGGTTTGATTCATCTCTCTCACGAGATGCGAACTAGTTCGAACTCGACCGTGTTACGATTGAAATGAGGCAGCGCAACAATTTTACTCATGAACCTTTGTGGGTCATGACGCACACCGCCTGGGGGCAAACATAGCCTCTCTCGCAGCCATTTTAGTGTCGTCACGCACGTAACGCTCCTACAAATGTTAAGTGGTCCTTAAAGAGCCTTGAGGCTGTAGCCGTGACTTAAGCTTCTCAGTTATGACAAACTTTTTTGTTTCTTCTTCTATTGTAAACTGTCTATGTTTGATTCATGTGACATGTGAGATCTCAGTTAACTTAGATAAGGGACCTCTAATTTGTCGTGCACCCCTTCTTTGTTCATTTGTTACATTTAAGTTTTGACTTAATATTCAAAATGGTGGACGATGGCTGATGATATCATGATCTGTATTCTCTCGTGGAGCAAAAGCCTCACAGTGTACCTTACCTATGACTACAGCAGAGATAGGGTCAAATGTGTGATCACCAAGTTTAGTTGAAAATACTTGACATGTGTAGTTTCCTTCATCAATCTTTTGTACAGGTTTGAAGGTGATTGATCCAGTCTGTGGATTGAGAGTTAAGCGTCCACCAAATCTTGCATTTAAATACTGTCCATCCTTTCTCCAAGCGTACGTAAGTGGTGGATAAGCTGACACACCGAATACCAGCGTTTGTGTTTGGCCAAGGAGTAGGGTTTGCTTTAAGTTGACATCAGTTATTCTATCTATACCAAAAAAGATAAAATTTGTCACAATTGGCCGTTTTCTTAAGTCTTCATAACAACTAACCCTTTCACCCCTAGAACCCGTCATGGCAGGTTTTTTTGTAACTCTAACGGCTTTAAATCTGTGGACAAAGTCCTGTTTGAAACCATTCGATTGAAACATCTATGGGAGAACCGGTTTGCATATGTAGTACTGTTTATCTAAATTGTATTTCACTTGTGTTTGCGGGGGAGTAGTTACTGTAGACCACTCTATGATTTACAAACTAGGAGGTTTTGTTACTTAGCACCACAACGAGCTAAGAGATCAGGATCTCGAACTTCTGAGTACCGCATGCAGTGATATTGAGACTAAGCCAGTCCTCCAATACATCACTGGGGAACAGTTTTGAGGATCTAATAAAGTGCAAGATACGAGATTGTAAACCCAGTATAATGCACGCCGGTTCTGGGAGCACCGATGATCGGCATGGCGGAATGGGAACTGAATGCCTGAGGTACCATAGTGAATTAGCGGAGCTGATTCGGCCATTAACAAAGGGGAGAAATATACCAAACCATGTCATGGATCACAAGCCAAATTTCATTTGCACCATTAAGATCTGCACTGGCTCATTTTTCCTAGAGGCTCTAGAGCAATAAGAAGAGTTTAACGTAATATTAAGAACACTGACATTAACAGTGAAACTGTAGAAAATGCCATTTAGGAGATATGAGGTTTTATTTTTTATTACTGTTACTAGGCTTTTTTATACCAAAAAGGAGAATTTTTTAATTATTATCATGTAGACAAGTTGATTGTTGAGACCGCGCTTTCTCACTTACGAAAGTAATCTGCTATGGCATTTCTGATGCACATTAGTTGTTTGTAAGTTTTATTTGAGTTTATAGAAATTAGTAAGTATATTGTAAATAGATGAATGAAGGTTGCTTTCTGTCATAGTACACTGGACAAAACTGTTCTGGATTGACGTTTCACGATACAAAACTCTGTCGAAAAGCAATTTTTTTTCTCAATTTTAGCAAAAAATGATTTAATACAAGAAAATGTTGTCAGATGTTAATTTGCAAATATCGCAAAAAATAACAACAAAACCAAATCTAGCAAAGATCAGTCTTGTAAAGGCAAACAAGGCCCAGAGGAAGTCCTTAAATTTCGCAAAAATCGCAAAAGTAACAAGAATATTTTATTGCAACAACACGTTAACAAATATCGCAACAATAAAAGCAATAATAAATTTTGCAGACCTGCGAGTGAGCGCAGCAAACGAGTGAAATATTTTTTCATCACCAGAAGAGAAATTTCGTATCGCCAAGTGGTCATATAATGTTTTTTTTAATTATATAAATATCAATGAAATAGAAAACCAGTTCAATTTAATAGTTTTTTGGTGTAAAAGGCGCGAAATATTACGTAGTCATAGCAACGGTAATTTTTCCCGTGTATAAGATAAATAATATCAAAGGTGACGAATTACTCCTTAATTTTGGCGCGAAATTTCAGCATTAATTTGTAATTTCACATGTGAAATTACAAAATTGCCATGGCAACCCTTCCGTACGTCTCAGTGTCAAGATGGCGACGAAGTTTTAAAATGCGGGGAATTAAGATGTCAGGGCACAAAAAGATGCTCTAGAAAACCTGAACACACAAGAGAACATCAAGAAGAATTCTAACAGGTATTTTGCCGAAAAAGTCTGAAAAATTCTGAACTTTATAAGCCAAATTTAAGGTCTAAACATTTGAGAGAGTGGAGTTCTCGATCGATACGATCCGGGATAAACATGTCAAAAATCCAAGATTGCTAATGTAATTCGTCACCCATGATATTAATAGGTAATCAAATGGTATACTCGTGAAATTAGGGAATAATTTCACTTGCGTTTTGTCCAAATCCTTATAATTTCCCTCGTGTGAGGGCTCGGGAAATTATTAGGATTTGGACAAAACGAGCGTGAAATTATTCCCTAATTTCACTCGTCACCATTTGATTACACATACTAATATTTTCACATGTGAAGATATCATGTTTTCATCTGCTATTTCATTGGTGTTTATGTTAATAATAATATTATTATCATTATTATTATTATTGTTATTATTAGTTATGTAATTATTATCACAGATATCATTATTCCACTTACGTTTTACATGCAAGGGCTTAGACTAATTTAAGCTTAACACGCTAGGTATTAAGTGTTTAAGTCAATTTTTAAGTTGAAACAATGACTTTTCTGCGGATATGGTACGTACTATGGACAGAAGTAACACGACGAGACTGAATGTAACACATTATTGAAGAAACTGCCCCTACAAAAAACAAAATTTACTGTGGTATTCATTGTTTTGCCCATCAGAAATGTGCATATCCAGCTGATCTGTGACATTTCCACATATTCATCATCTCACATAAAACCCAAGGAGGGCTTCATATTAAACACGTAAGAGACTAGTGCTGGGGAACAACTTTAATTTATACTTTTGTGTACAAATATATGATAGTTAACTGAGCAGCGAGTCAACATTCATGTATAAGTAACAGTGAACTTAATTACTCTCTGACGTCTTTGAATTTGCAATATTGCGTGCTCAGCAACATTGCTGGGGGACAGTTGAATTGTTGATTCCCTGTAAGGTCAAAATTTCGACGAGTGACATTAATTGTCTTAAAACAGCGAAACAAGATTGATGAAATGGCGATAGACAACAAAAAGATAGGTTGAAACTGCGACAGAGAAAAAAGGCAAATACAATAGTAAAAACCCGAAAGGGACATGGCTTACTCCTCAGTATGCGAAAACAAAGGTTGCGTTCCTTTGAGATGATCCAGATCATGGTTGTTGGGGATAAGCACAGGTTTCTTCAACTCAAACGATGAAAACTAAAATAAAAATACAAAACTTGTAGGTAGAGAGCCAAATAGAACTGAAAAACGAACGAGATACTCACAAGTTCTGTCTGTAAAACAACGCAACAACTCTCACAGATCACGCTAGTCACATGAAGAAAGAGGTCACGTGACCAGCGCTCAGGTCCCTATCAAAAAAACGTAACGGTTTTCGGATAATGTTCATGTCCGATGTTTAAATCAGATTTTTCCCGAACAATGGTAGATCAAATGAACCGATGAATCCACTCTGGACAAGGATTCATCGGTTCATTTGATGTACCATGATCCGAGTGATCTCGGATCACTGATCCTGATCTGGAGCAAGGGAATGCACCCTTTAAGGAGTTTCGAAATTCAGACATAAGACATATATATCTCCTCCCTCCTCTGAAGAGGACCTCATTGTTAGATGCCGTATTGCGTGATTTTGAAGTAAGCAAAGAGAGTGCAGCTATTGGGAAAACATCTCCAGCTACAGACTGAGCAATATTAATGATAATGTGATTTTGAAGTAAGCAAAGAGCGTGCATTGTATTGGGGAAACCCCTCCAGCTACAGAACAATATTAGTGATTGTCGCTTCAGATCTTTTGCATATAAACATTATAAATTTTATATTATTTATCAAAAAACTTGAACACTAGCTGGAACAGCACTGAATTACTGCTTGAAACAGTGTATTGCTACCCCTAACGGTAGGAGATACCCATTACCTTATAGACTATACATCGCAGTACACCCAGGGAGTTTTCCTTTGTGGGATACTTACAATTAATATTTAGAGTGAAACTTCTTGAATTAAACGAGCCTTGACAACGGTACTGGCCTCCATCTTGAGCAGTTATGGAATGTATATTCAGTGTATATGTATCACTATTCACTGAAACTGTAATCCTCCCAATGCTTGATGTTGTGATTCTCTGACCCGAAGGAGTTATCCAGGAATCAAAGGTTTCTCCTATTACGATGCAAGGCACTCTTGAATTTCTTCCTGCCATATTTATTGTTTCTGTAAACGGCAATCTAACTGTTCCATCTACAAGAAAAGAAAAAAAAGATACCAAACCCCTCAGTATTTGATACTATTATTGTCATTATTATTATATTATTTATTATTATTATTATAATTATTATTATTTTGTATTTAGCAACAATATCAAGTTTGGTGCCAATGTACGTATTATGTTCAAGCCTAGCTTCACTCCCAGAATATTTAACAAGGGAGTCTCATAAGGTGGTTATAACTTTTGAGTCTGTTCGAAATCCTATGGTGTTAAACCTGTTTGACAGTACTTTCAAATTTTCCACCAATAAGGTTTCTCATCATTTTGGAAACTTTGCTGAAAGGGTGGAAACCAGGCGGTGTGCGTCACGAGATTCGACCAATCAGAATGCGTTATAGAGTGATTTTGCGCTTGGGAAGAGCCGTTTTCAGAGGTGTATATGTTGAAATTTTCGCTTTATTCCAAGCTTCTGTAGGTAATTTCTACCCTATACGGCCGTGGAAAGTTGTTCGAACACTTTATCCTGATAGTAGTTACGTTACTTTAAAAATATTTTGCTTTCTTGAGCGTTTATGACAAGTTTGAATTGCTTGATCATGTACAAGCCGCCATGATGATTTGAGTGTTGTTTTTGCCGTTCTTCTTGGATTCATTGCTGGCTACTGTTAGCGGTTTTATTGGATTTTTTTGGTCATCGTGTTACTTCAACATTTCTTATTTGCAAATTTCGGGGTCTACCCGGTCTACCCCTGATAGCTTTCCCGTTATGAGCCGTTGAAAGTGTCTTGGAATTAAGAGATCGTCTTAACCAAGTAGCACAACTGCCGGGAAACGGGCTGAGAAAACATGCCGAAGCGAAAGCCGACGTGAAGCGAGAAACGCCAAATCTAGGAAGAGTTTGTTCCATTTTAAACCAGAAAAGGTAAATAAGTTTGAATATTGTAATGACCTTTGGAAACAAAACATTTTTCATTCCACTCTGAGATAAAAAATATACATATAAACCAAACAGTACATATTAAAATCTTCTGAGAAGCAGGAAATCGTCGCTTAAAATCGGCTAGATCGCACCTTCGATCGTCTCCGAATCGCGCTAAATTTATTGAAATTGCCTTATGAATGAAGCTAACAGCAAGCATCTAAGGCCACTATGAGATCTTGAAAATTCTCCAAATCGCTCTCTTCCGTAATGTTTTTCAGAAAAGGAAGCAGTGTTTTGATCCCTGGGTTTGATTCATCTCTCTCACAAGATGCGAACTAGTTCGAACTCGACCGTGTTACGATTGAAATGAGGCACTGCAACAATTTTACTCATGAACCATTGTGGGTCATGACGCACACTGCCTGGGGGGAAACATAGCCTCTCTCGCAGCCATTTTAGTGTCGTCACGCACGCAACGCTCCTACAAATGTAAAGTGGTCCTTAAAAAGCCTTGAGGCTGTAGCCGTGACTTAAGCTTCTCAGTTCTGACAAACTTTTTTGTTTCTTCTTCTATTGTAAACTGTCTATGTTTGATTCATGTGACATGTGAGATCTCAGTTAACTTAGATAAGGGACCTCTAATTTGTCGTGCACCCCTTCTTTGTTCATTTGTTACAGTTGTCTGGATAGTTTTGATCCAATTTAAAAATGTCAGGGAAACGTGTTTAGTGAGTCTTTAAGTCTCCTTTTTGTGCGCTTCTTTCCATTTCGGAGTCTTGAATTTTTTCCCTATTAAGGCTCAGCGTCACTCCAGTTTGTGGTCATGGCGGGACTGAGACTGAGACCTAACACTCTGCCTTTCACTCTAGACGATATAAATCAATGAAAATCAATCATTGATTTCAATCAACATTCTTAATAAAAATCTATTGATTGATATTGATTGGCTTAGCCAATCAATAAAAATACTATATAATCACTCACCGATGCGTCTAAGCTTTATTGATTTTCATTGATTGCTATTGATGATCAATAGCTGATTGTGAAACAGTAAAAACCGGGTTAGGCGTTTGCTTAAACGTGGTCGCAAACACAACAACGCTGCTATGTCCGTGGAAATTTCTATATCCTGTTTAGTCAAGGGGTATCACCACTGCCCTTTTAAAGGAAGGGGAAGTGTTTTCCATTTCCAAGAAGAACAGAGAACGCGGTAACGCATTCAAAGTTTTCAGTGAAGGAGGCCAACTTGGCCATCTCCTAGCGGAGTTTGACAGCTTACTCTAATTTTTCTAATATATTCAGCTACGAATTCGATAAATGTACTACGTCATGCTCAGTAAACGTTATGGACCGCTCGTATGCATCTGTACATTGCAGTTACGTTACATACAGGAAGATAATAGATTGTGGTTTGACGTACTGTTGTTTCTGTTGTACTGTTTTAATTTCTTAGCTTATCGTAGATCGGACCATGTAAACTTAATTGGGTTTAATTTCTAAGCTGTGTGTCGTATTATAAATAGATTAAACACATGTTAGTTTTCATTAAAAATCAATGAAATCAATGTAAATCAATGAAAATAGAAAATCACTCAAGACTGCGGGTTTGATTTTTACCGGCTTTCAAAATCAAGCAATTAATTGCATTGATGTTTATTTATTATTATTGATGTTATTGATTATTGATTATAATTGAATGGTATCGTCTGGTTTCACTTAATGAAGCGATGGTTAAAGTCTATACCACGAGTGCCCGCTTTCGCCGTCGGTGTTGGTGAAAAGTTTATTATAATTAAAGAAGAAAAGGTGAGATAGGTGTCCAGCTCTGAAGGTAACTGACGATGACCGTGGCCCACTTGGACATTTGCAACGCGAACTGGTGTCTTTGCTTTGGCTACTGACCGACAAAGTTGAAGTGTATAACATGTCAAAAATCCAAGATTGCTAATGTAATTCGTCACCCATGATATTAATAGGTAATCAAATGGTATACTCGTGAAATTAGGGAATAATTTCACTTGCGTTTTGTCCAAATCCTTATAATTTCCCTCGTGTGAGGGCTCGGGAAATTATTAGGATTTGGACAAAACGAGCGTGAAATTATTCCCTAATTTCACTCGTCACCATTTGATTACACATACTAATATTTTCACATGTGAAGATATCATGTTTTCATCTGCTATTTCATTGGTGTTTATGTTAATAATAATATTATTATCATTATTATTATTATTGTTATTATTAGTTATGTAATTATTATCACAGATATCATTATTCCACTTACGTTTTACATGCAAGGGCTTAGACTAATTTAAGCTTAACACGCTAGGTATTAAGTGTTTAAGTCAATTTTTAAGTTGAAACAATGACTTTTCTGCGGATATGGTACGTACTATGGACAGAAGTAACACGACGAGACTGAATGTAACACATTATTGAAGAAACTGCCCCTACAAAAAACAAAATTTACTGTGGTATTCATTGTTTTGCCCATCAGAAATGTGCATATCCAGCTGATCTGTGACATTTCCACATATTCATCATCTCACATAAAACCCAAGGAGGGCTTCATATTAAACACGTAAGAGACTAGTGCTGGGGAACAACTTTAATTTATACTTTTGTGTACAAATATATGATAGTTAACTGAGCAGCGAGTCAACATTCATGTATAAGTAACAGTGAACTTAATTACTCTCTGACGTCTTTGAATTTGCAATATTGCGTGCTCAGCAACATTGCTGGGGGACAGTTGAATTGTTGATTCCCTGTAAGGTCAAAATTTCGACGAGTGACATTAATTGTCTTAAAACAGCGAAACAAGATTGATGAAATGGCGATAGACAACAAAAAGATAGGTTGAAACTGCGACAGAGAAAAAAGGCAAATACAATAGTAAAAACCCGAAAGGGACATGGCTTACTCCTCAGTATGCGAAAACAAAGGTTGCGTTCCTTTGAGATGATCCAGATCATGGTTGTTGGGGATAAGCACAGGTTTCTTCAACTCAAACGATGAAAACTAAAATAAAAATACAAAACTTGTAGGTAGAGAGCCAAATAGAACTGAAAAACGAACGAGATACTCACAAGTTCTGTCTGTAAAACAACGCAACAACTCTCACAGATCACGCTAGTCACATGAAGAAAGAGGTCACGTGACCAGCGCTCAGGTCCCTATCAAAAAAACGTAACGGTTTTCGGATAATGTTCATGTCCGATGTTTAAATCAGATTTTTCCCGAACAGTGGTAGATCAAATGAACCGATGAATCCACTCTGGACAAGGATTCATCGGTTCATTTGATGTACCATGATCCGAGTGATCTCGGATCACTGATCCTGATCTGGAGCAAGGGAATGCACCCTTTAAGGAGTTTCGAAATTCAGACATAAGACATATATATCTCCTCCCTCCTCTGAAGAGGACCTCATTGTTAGATGCCGTATTGCGTGATTTTGAAGTAAGCAAAGAGAGTGCAGCTATTGGGAAAACATCTCCAGCTACAGACTGAGCAATATTAATGATAATGTGATTTTGAAGTAAGCAAAGAGCGTGCATTGTATTGGGGAAACCCCTCCAGCTACAGAACAATATTAGTGATTGTCGCTTCAGATCTTTTGCATATAAACATTATAAATTTTATATTATTTATCAAAAAACTTGAACACTAGCTGGAACAGCACTGAATTACTGCTTGAAACAGTGTATTGCTACCCCTAACGGTAGGAGATACCCATTACCTTATAGACTATACATCGCAGTACACCCAGGGAGTTTTCCTTTGTGGGATACTTACAATTAATATTTAGAGTGAAACTTCTTGAATTAAACGAGCCTTGACAACGGTACTGGCCTCCATCTTGAGCAGTTATGGAATGTATATTCAGTGTATATGTATCACTATTCACTGAAACTGTAATCCTCCCAATGCTTGATGTTGTGATTCTCTGACCCGAAGGAGTTATCCAGGAATCAAAGGTTTCTCCTATTACGATGCAAGGCACTCTTGAATTTCTTCCTGCCATATTTATTGTTTCTGTAAACGGCAATCTAACTGTTCCATCTACAAGAAAAGAAGAAAAAGATACCAAACCCCTCAGTATTTGATACTATTATTGTCATTATTATTATATTATTTATTATTATTATTATTGTTATTATTATTATTATTATTATTATTTTATATTTAGCAAGAATATCAAGTTTGGTGCCAATGTAAGTATTATGTTCAAGCCTAGCTTCACTCCCAGAATATTTAACAATGGAGTCTCATAAGGTGGTTATAACTTTTGAGTCTGTTCGAAATCCTATGGTGTCAAACCTGTTTGACAGTACTTTCAAATTTTCCACCAATAAGGTTTCTCATCATTTTGGAAACTTTGCTGAAAGGGTGGAAACC